AAAAGAAATACTCTGTGGACTCAGCAAACTGTCTGCCAGCCATTTCCATTCGGATGCCCCTAGTCTAAGCTGCCCTGGGTTCGTGCCAGGACAACTGTGCTTTAAATTCCAAAATCTTGTCTCCCTCGGATTCCTAAAAGAACTTCCCCGCAGACATTTGCTAGTATATTCTCCTGATGATGTCTCTGTTTAGCCCAGCCAGAATGGTAAGGCACAGAGTGGCCAACAACTGGATGAAGATTTCCATCCCACTGCAGGGACAGTTTTGGAGCCGAGAATTGTAATGAGTTTCTCCAGGTCTCTCTCCCTCATCTGGGACTGACTTCTGTCATTTTTATTCTAGACAATTAGCTGTATCCCCACCAAGACGTTGGCAATGGAGAGTTCCTTACAGCACGTGCATTTAAACAAAACTGCAGGAAAAGCTTCATCAGAAGCCTGGTTCCTCCTGACGCGATACATGTCCAGTTTGCCTGATGTGGAGGCCCAGGGAGGGGCACCTCCGGTCTCTCCTGGCCCACATCCACCAAGACCTTTTCAAGGTTCCAGGTTGGGTGGTGACTCTACCAGATCAGTTAGGAGAGAGAGGAGATTTTTAATTTTTCTTGCTTCCTTCGGTGGATCTCCCCTGGGTGGACCTCCCTCTCTGGATGTGGCAGTGTTTGAGGTCATCCTGGTTACAGCACAGGGCACCATGTGTATTTAGCGGAGGGAGGGACTAAGTATCCAGAATGTACGGGGCTATTCTGCTCAGTGAAGTGTTCCACCCAGATGTGCACCGGTTGTAAAGCTCTGCATCTGATCTGCTTAACAAAGACCACTCCCCACCCAACCCCTCTGCCGGCTGCAGATTCCCACCTCCCCCTCGTTATCCCCTGGTGCTCCTGGCTTCCGGGCACCTCCCCATCCTCCCCTCTACTCACTCGACTGCTAGAACCACCGAGTCAGTCTCTTTGGACAAATGACAGCATATATCATGGTAAGTTCCTAGAAAATAAAACGTTTGAAACATTCATGCTAAGAAAGTTAGTGGGCTTCCTTTGCCAGCCATCCTCAGCTGCCCTTTCTCACTGATGACCACGATGGATAGAGAGCCTGGGGTTTGCAAATTTTCTCCTAAGTGTCTTTCTTCAGCCCTCTTCTCAGCCATCTCACGATTTCGCCTCTGTGACGCTGCCTGAACAGCTTTCTCTAAGACCCCCTCCCCAACCCCACTGATTCTACACTTCATTCCCAGTATCTGAGAAGCTGTCTGGCCGTGGGGCACCATGGTGCAGCGGGTGAGCTCTGGATTCAGACCTGAGTTCAGATCTCAGATTTGCCTCCTTTTAACATGAACTGAAGGAGTACGGGGCAAGTCCCTTCACCTCCCTGAGGCTCGATTTCCTCACCTGTAAAGTGGGGATAATGATAATAATAGGGCTTTGGGGGCGGGGGTTAAATGGGATGGGATGTGAAGGGCTTCCACAGTGCCCACCATGCCAATATCACTATTAGTAGATATCAACCAATAAACATTGACATTAACTGTCATTGATAATGCAGACCAGACTAAAACCCTGGTTGCGTTAAATCTCTTCTTCTCAAAGGCTACAGCAAAGGGGCTTGGCAGGCCACAGACTGGAAAACACCATCACGGTGGTCTTCCTCCCAAATCCACAGGGGGAAAAAATTAAGATAATAACACAGTCTCAATTTTGTGGGGTTTTTTCCCCCCTTATTAGTTTTCCTCAAATCTTTGGTCCCCCTGTCTGTCTGTACCAGAATTTGTCTCAAGCAAACCTGACAGGAAACAAAATGATGTGCTTTATTTGTTTTCATTAAAAAAAAAATCCTCTTTTCCAACTAAATAGAGGAGGTGAGTGCACAGCATTGTGAATGTACTAAATACCACTGAATTGCGCACTTTATTTTTTTGGCGGAGGAGGTAATTAGGTTTATTTGTCTTATTTTTAGAGGAGGCACTGGGGATTGAACCTAGGACCTCGTGCATGCTAAGCATGTTCGAGGTATACCCTCCCCCCTGAATCATACACTTTAACGTGGTGCACTTTACATTATGTGAATTTCATGCACGTGCATACACATGTATGTAGCTACACATACATGTATATATGTACGTGTGTATTTTAGATGTAGATATGCAGACATATGTAGCCTTACTTCCAGAAAGAGATCCATACACTCCGTCTCTTAGCCATCTGAGTGATCTAGCCCCGCTAACTGCCCTGGTGTTCCCTGGTCACAGTAGGGGCTTTTAGCCCCGGGGGAGACGACAAGGGTGTCGTCTCCTGCTGGAAGGTGGTGTCCACCCAGCTCTGCTCTGAGGCTGTCATGCTGCAGGTGCGAGGTCTCAGGGAAGGACACTTACTCAAGCTCCCTAGGACGGCCCCGCCGCCGTGGTAGAACAGGATGCCGGGCCGGAGGGTGTTTGAGGACGCCTTAGGCTGGTACAGCCTCACAGGGATCGTCCCAAACCGGAGGTCCTTGATTTCCAAGTCCGGGTATTTCTTCAGCGGCATCAGATCGTGAACAAAACGGACAAACTGGGGCATAGAGCAGAGCCTCAGTTTCTCGAAAATCATCCCCTGTTGGTGAGACAGGAAGAAAATGTGGAGGAAAAGGTTTCAGCGTTTGCTGGGCCCTCTGCAGGGCGGCTGGAAGGCAGACTGGCCCGCAGCCCTGCTCGTCTCCCATGGTGCCTCCATCACACCTACAGAAAGTCTATCCACCTGCCCCCACACCGGCCCCCCTCCAGCCTCTCTGCCAGACGCCAGACACCCCAGTCCCCAGAGCCACATTGCTGCCCATCCCTTGAGGATCCCTCTAACCTGGAACACCCCCGCCTCAGCCGGGCCTTGATGTCTCTTCCCAGGGAGGCCCTCCTGGATGACCCTAGTCAACATGACCATCCTGAGCATTTGTCGCCATTTTTAAGAGATGATAACTGCATGATGGTTACATCTTTAAAAAGAGGTAGGGAGCAAGCAGTTCTTATCTTTTAGAGGTACCTACTGACATATTTTTCAGACAAAAGAATACAATGTCCAGGATCCACTCTGTAAGAAAATGGGAAGGAGGGAAAAGGTGGGGGACAGGTGAGGTGAGTTTGGCCGGAGTCGATAATCACGAACGCTGTGGGGTGTGTGCCTGGGGCTTCTGTGCAGTGTTCTGTCTCCTCTGATAAACGTCTGGAAGTTTGCATGATAAAAAATAAAAATAAACAAGTAAAGTAAGCTCTCCCCCAGGCACTCTCTTTCCAGCAATTTCTAACCCTTTCTGGGCCAAGGCCATTTTAGCTTCTAGTGAAGCTTGTCACAGAATACTTTCGAATACCCAAAATAAAATATGTGAATATAAAAATATTCAGCGTTATTTAAACATAGATATTAAAACATTAGAGTGCGTGTGTGTTGTAATGGCATACCTTCTTAGCACACGAAATAGCACGACCTCGTGGCTGGTCTAATACTATCATAATCTCCAAGGAATGAGGCACGTATGTGATTTTTTGCAATGTCTACAGTAACTGTAATATGCTCTGAAAATATCCGCGATCCCTCTAGGTGGCAAAGTCAAGGGTACCGCTGTCTCCTTCATTCATAATGGAAGAGAATACTACATTTGCATTCGAGGTCAGTGAAAACGGGGCCATTTCCACCCCGTCCAAATTCATGGACCCCTTGCGCCCGGTTGCCCTTGGAGGCTCTGGGAGCTCCAGGTGAAGAGCCCTACCGCGCTCCGCTGCCCTGCTTTACCTTCCTCATAGCACTCACCACTCTGCACGCTGATTTACTTGTCCTGAGTTTGCTCATTTATTGTCGCCTCCCCACCTCCCACTGCCCGGAGTGGCCACACTCCCTGCAGGCAGACTCAGTCTGGGACTTCATTTCTCTCCTCCATCCTTGATCCTCAGGGCTGGAAATGGAGGTTGACACACAGCAGTGGCACACCACATCTTGGTAGGGAAAAAGACGAAGCAACAAATAGCAGTACGGCTAAGATTTATGGAAAGCTCAGTCTGTGCTAGGCAAGCTGACACGCACTCGGACAGATGAACTCATTGCCTCCCCACCAAATGCTACCAAGTCGGGGTCTATTATTTCCCCCGATATTGCAGATGAGGAAACTGAGTCAGTGTATTTGGAAACCTGGAGTGTAGACTCCAAGAGTCAAGGCCAGGGAAACCACAGGACCGAACCCTCCCAACTTGTAAAAGCTGACCTGCCGCTTAAGAAAACTGGCCCCTGGGTTCCCCCTCAGCTTCCCCTCCACCAGGGCTTTTCATGAGAACAGGCACCTGCAATCACTTCTCATTATCTAAGAGACTTAAGAACCATATTTTCTATATTCAATCTCTGTCAGCCCTCTGGAAAAGCACAGTAAATCCTTACTGGCAACATTTACACAATTCTCACCGCGATCCACTTACAAGCATCTGATTGAATGACACACACCAGCAACAGCAAGCAGAATGTGACCACATCACAGAGAGAGTTTTCCACTCCCCAAACCGTCTTCTAAACAGTCCCATGCTGTAGTTTCGTTCATCTGTACTAATGCACTCATTTGCTACGTGTCTCTCTGTTATTGTTGGCTGGTTCTAGGTAGCAGGTGGGTAGTAACAGGGGTCCCCAGATTCAGAAAAATGTATTTCTATCTTCACGGCCTTGCAGAGTGGAGGGTGCTGTGAAAAAGTAAGACAGGAAGCAGGGTGGAGTTTCACTATAACTTGAGAAAGTGAAGCATTCTTTGAATTGTGTGGCTACTAGCTCAGCCCAGCTTTGAGAAACATCAGGAAGAGGTTAAGAACCGTGTTACCTATCAGAAATTATTCGTTTGATAAGATACTGTCACTCTCCGCCACCATGAATGGACTGTTTCTTCAACTGGAAGCTTCTGGAATGTGTTTTCCCAAATCTCTCCTTAAACCTCAGGAGGAGGGGACAAATAGAACCCCAAACTCACCCACGTCACCAACAGCTGCAAGAGGCAATGGAAGACCCGCAGTTTCACAGGGTGGCCGATGGCTGCTGGGATGTCTGCAGTGAGGAAGTGGCTGCAGACCACCCAGAGCCCGACCCCCACGGAGAACACGCAGGCTGTGGCGAGGACCGGGAGCAGCAGAAGGACCGCCATCCTGCTCTTGCCACCATGGGAGAGGCTGAGAGGAGGCTGTGCTCAGGGCGGGCTATTTAGGACACGGTTGGGAGCCAGCAGACCTCCTCCTCTTATACATCACAACCGGCCCTCACCACCGCCCCATGTCCTGCAAGCATTGGTCCAGCCAGGTGAGTCACAGACTCAGGTGAGGACCTGGTTCTAGGACAGGGCCCGTGCAGAGACATGCCTCATGCAACCTGACCCAGCTAGAAAGGAGGGCTCTGAAGTCCCAGCTTGAATCCTGGCATCGCTCCTAGAAATGGCTTTGGATAAGTCACCATGGACATTACAAACACTGCCCCCTTCCACCTGCCCTCTGACCTCATCACCACCTCCTAATTCCACTCTGGCTGCACTGACTGATCCTCAACCTGTCCAGGAGGCCCCAGGGCCTTGGCACTGACTGATCCCTGGGCAACATTCTTCCCTCGGACTTCAGCTGGCCTCAACTCCTCCCCTACTACAGGTCTCTGCTTAAGTGTCCCCTTCTGAGTGAGGCTGTCCCTGGCCACCTTATTTCACATTGTAACTCCCCGCCTGCCCTCCTACGCACACCACACCCCACCGGCTAACTCTGTCCCTGTGGCTTTTACCGTTACCGGAGACACCACATGCTTCACTTTTTTGTTTATTGTCTCAAAAGTAACCTCTGTGAGCACGGGAATTTTTCGTTTGTCCTTTCTTTATCCTCAAAGGCTAGATCAGGGTTCAGTACTGAGTGAGTGCTCAGCAAATTCTATTGGATGCAGGAATGAATAAACAGTCTTTGTCTTTTTCATCATAAAGCAGAAACAAAAAACCCAAACTGAGCTCACCTGCCTTTCCGGGTCGGGAAAGATTGACATCAGTGTTCAAAATCTCCCCTAAAAACGAAGTCTCCCATCTGCAGTAAAAATGATGGTGTCTGTCCTCTCTCCCCCTGCCCTGCTCCGGCGTCAGAGCAGCAGTTCTCAGATGGGGGGGATTCTGCTCCCCAGGACACATCTGACAATGCCTGGAGATATCTGGTTGTCACAGCTCCGTGAGGGGCAGGGACTGGCGCTGGCAGCTCTTGGATCGATGCCAGAGATGATGGGAAACACCCCACGGCGCACAGAATGGCCCCCACGACAAGGAGTCGTCTGGTCCAGAGTGTCAATGGTGCTGAGGTTGAAAAACCCTGCATTAGCAAGACTTGGATTTGAATCCTGGCTCTGCCGAATGCCCGCGTGCTGCCCATGAGCAAGTTACTCTCTAAGCCTCGGTTTTCAAATCTGTAAGGCGGTGAGAGTAGTAATAGTGCCCCCGTGGGGCTGTCGGGTGCGTCAAAGGCACGGTGTCTGTAAGCGCCTAGCATGAGCCTGGATGTGGGGGCACTTAACAGACGTCCGTGAGCGAGGCTGAGACACTTCTACGTCTTCCCCAGACCCCTTCACATTCCTCGTGGGTACACATCACAGGTACACAGGTGACAACACTTTCTAGCCCCTGCTGCCTCTGGAGGGACCACACGATGTGTTCTGGCTAGGGGGTGTGAAGGACAGTGCTACCGCCCCCTCCGGGCAGGGGGGCAGAGGGCCACGTGACCCTCCGTGCTCCCTCTCTCCAGCAGGGAGGGACTCCTCGTGGCTAAGCCTCACCGTGACGGGGCTTGGATCCCCTGACAGTCTTGGAGGTGTGAGATGCCAGGAGGGTGACCCAGCCTGTCAGGGGTTGCCTGACGGAGGCACCCAGGTTCGTGGTGGTAAGCTACTGAGACGCAGGATCGTTTGTCAAGGCTGCTAGCCTCCCCTGAGTGGCATTGCCATGGTGGCAGCAGGAAAGCTGCGGAAAACTTCTGCAACCCCAAAGTCTAAATTCACCTGAATTCTGCATGACTCTTGCTTATTTCCCTGTGCTTCTAGCCCTTGACTACAAGACACCGGACTCCCTCCCAGTAAAGTCTCCGATCCTGACTCTCCAGGATCTGACTCTCCACTGGCAGACCCCTGGGAGCTCTTGCTGCCCTGCCCCTGAACTAGCCCAACAGTACCGGCCAGCGTGATCACCCTCTCTGCTGGCGGTTCCTTTGCCCGTCCAGTAAAGCCGAGGTCCCTGCGCCATGCCCGGTGCTGAGCCAGACCCTCTGCACGTGCTAATCCGCTTCGCTCTCCCATCAGCCCTTTCGGTAGAGCCTATTCTTGTCCCCATTTTATGGACAAGGAAACTCAGCCCCGGCGAGGCTACGCTGCTCGCTTCCAGACCTTGTAGTGGGGAGGGCAACAGCTCAGTGGTAGAGCATGGCTTGGCGTGCAGGAGGTCCTGGGTCAATCCCCAGTGCCTCCATTAAAAGAAATACATAAGTAAAATTTTAAAACCTAACTACCTCCCTCCAAAAACCTTGTTTTAAAAAAAGAAGTTGTAGGGAGACCTCACAACCAAGCAAGGCTCTTCTCAGGCCCCTTATTTTGAGCAATGCCGGAACGTCAATGAACAAAGGAAAGTCTCAGCAAAGCTTGCTTACTACATCTCGACCGGGCTCCCATCCAGCCCCTGCAGAAACTTGACTGGACAGGAAACAAACTCAGCAGCAACTCCCAGCTCATTGCGTAACTGCGGCCGGGTGACAAATCTGTGTTAGGGTTAAGGTTTATTTTACAGCAATGGAAACAAATAGTCCATCAGGTATTCAGACTTACTGATTTTTAAATATCTCCGTTTTTTAATTACCTAAGTAATACGCTTTCATTCTGGTGTATCACCATCCTGACTTTTTTTCCATGCTAATGAAGCTTAAGCTTCAGGTCCCTCGCCTGTAGGAGAGAGCTGGTCAGGCATTTAAATGAAACTATCTGGAATTTTTGTGATGTTTGTGGTATATTCAGCTTTTTAAAATTTGTAGTTTGCTATGCTTTCTCTTCTCGTTCTAAATACACACACACTTTAAAACCTAAATTGCAGTCATAATTTTGCACTTCTTTTCTTGAAGAAAACTCTCAAAAGTGTATAAGCCCCACAAAACCTGGATCCAACCCAGGGTGTGTGTGTGTGTGTGTGTCTGTGTATGTGTGTGTCTGTGTGTGTGTGTCTGTGTGTGTGTCTGTGT